GTGAGTGAAATCCTCCTAAATGGTTGTACGGATTTTAACGAAACTTTTTGTGTGTTTGAGTGGGTCTCTGGATAGTTTAGTTTCACAATTTAATCCGACAGTTGGCGCTGTAGTTGAGTTATTACTAAAAATCTTATTTATGATCCTATTTGGATAATGTTTTAAATATGTATGCAATACTATTGCAAAAACATGCTGCCAAGTGGTGCTGAAGTCCTGGTACCTGGTAAAAGCGTCAATAGCCAAGTGAGAAAAGGGGCCGTGAAGGTCAGATTAGATCGACCTGTTGCACCTTTGAGTATATAGAACGCTCCTGCGTTGCGATTGGCCCAATGGATGTGATTTTGCAATATTATTATGCGTTCAAACTTTTAAGGTATTTCGTCTGAAATAAGTATATGTATATTGTATTTGTGTAGAACAATGATTCGCCCCCATTTTGAAAGTGCCACCAACTATACTGTAAAGCTTCTAGGATATTTACTATAGAACCGGGTCATTGTTGCCACCAGGGAGTGAAGAGAAAAAATTTATTTCGCTTTGCGAATAACCGTGCTATGAAATGCCGCACAACTGGAGAATTTCAAAAACTTCTTCACGGATATTTATTAGGTTATTTAAAGCGGCAAATGGCCACCAAACCATAATCTTAGCAGACGAATGTGCCAATGAAAATCATAAACGTGAAATGTTGGTGAAAATGTTAGACCAAAAAGTTTCAATAAAATATATAAAAATTTTGGGCGGGACGAAGTTCGCCGGGTCTGCTAGTAGGACCATATATGCAAGGTATAATAAAATTTGACTGAAATCTATGCAGTAGTTTTTGAGTTAACTCCGAACAACGAAAACGGCTATTATTATATATATATGGAAGATATGCAGTCCTAGCTGCTTCTAACTGTTGGCCATCGCAACAAAACGAATGCAACTGGGATATACCTGGTACAGCGTCAATGTGACGCAGTGCGGCTTAAGTGTGGTGCGCAAAGTGGTCACAATGAGGTTTGAAAAATGAGGAAAAAAAAGACTAATAAAACTCGTTTGAGTTTAATGATTTTATTAATTGTCCAAGTGTTTTGAATTGATGTATATATGTTGGTTTACAATGGTTTTACCTGAAACTGATGTGGCTTGGTAGCTGCAGTTCTTTCTCCTTGGTCTCCCGACGTGAAAGTGAAAAATCGAAAGCCGTGATTTTTGTTCGAACCGCCGGACAAAGAAAAGACATTGAGGGGGAATTCAACGAAAGATACTTTATCCGGCGGGAAAATTAAACTAACGGCGCGAATATATAATATATATACATGCGTGCAAGTGTGCATGCATGAATGTACACATATGTGAATGACACATTAGGGTGGTGCATTATCTTTTGGAAATATTTAGGCTTAAGGCCTAAACATCGCGGCTCCCTTGCGGTAAGCAACATCTAAATATCGGCTGCGTTTCAGCTACCAAGCGCACATGGTTTTTACAAACAAATGTATTCTAAGTCTTGATATTAATGACAAAATCGAGCAGCAGCGTCGGCCTTCATTAAGGTAGAGCTCGTCCTTCCTCTATGGAGCTACTGCAGATGTAAATATAATTGGTAATTAAGAAAATGTACGTGGTTACTTTTTCAAATGCACTTTATTTAAATTCATTATTTTTTTCATTTTTGGGTATGATAATTTAGATAGAATGTATGTATGTAAAAAAAATAAAATTACGCTCTATAGACTCCGGACAGCACCCAACCAAATATGGTGCTTTGAGCGAGCAGTGGTCCAAATGTTGTGGGCAGTGTACCAGGTAATAAAATATCTGCGTAAACGTCGGTTCCCAGGATCACTCGTGTCAGTGCGGACGCATAAAAGCGAGGGTCTGCCAAGCGTATATGCGCGTACGGTTCAGCCACTGAGGCATCCGCGCTGTTAGATGGGCTTATCCTGCTAAAATTGGGTAGCGCAATAGCGTGAGTTGCTACCCGTTTGTTCTGCCCATATTTTCCCCGTAGGCATAACAGACAGCCTCTTTCTCCGCTAACGCGCGTTTCGTCCAGACGCAGCTCTCGGGCTAAGTCAAGTGATATTATGGTTCGAGGGGAACATACGTCGATAAGGGCGCGGATCAAATGTAGGCGCCCTCCAGCCTCGCTTTAACGACTGCAGTCGGAGCGATAGCGATCATTGGTTGAAGTGTTGGCGCAGCAATATTATGGTGACCCAAGATTCCGTTTCGGAATGCACGTCGTTTCGACAGCTGGTGAGGACGAGTCGCCAGTCTACCTTCTTTTTGAGTGCGTCGAGAGGACTTGCGTTTGAGATTACGCAGGCGGAAAGACCTGGTTTCCGCTCCAAGTAACCGGTTCCGCTCGTGCTGCGACAGGGGTCGGAAAGGCCTAGTTTCCGATCCCCATTCTGCGAATGCGCGGAGAGGCCGAGTCTCCGCTGCATCGCCTGAAAGTGCACCTTTCTCGGTATCTGGACGGAAAGGCCGCGTTTCCGTTCCAGAATCGGACGCAAGTAGCGAGATCACACCATCGGAATTTTCTTCTTCCTCCTCCACCTGTTCGGCCCATGACTTATTCGATCATCGTTTACATCTGCTTTCGCTCACGCAGTCTTTTAATTCGTGACTCATCGCGAGGCAATTAGCGCAGTAGCATCCTAGTAAGGCCTCACGCAATCTTTCCTCTGGCGATTTCGCACGATATAAAGGGCAAAGCCTGATCGGATGATTTGCGTCTTATAAACGACATGTTTGCGGATAGCGATGAGCGCGCTGTTCGGCGCTTTTCCTCATTGCGGCAATTGAGACATCGTTTCCTCTGAAATTGTGTCGATACTTTACGTTGGTTCGAGTTTTACCCTTGATATGGGTTGTTGGGTGGCGAGTGTATCGACCTTGGCGAATTAAATTAGGGGCATAACTGTTTCGCTAATGCATATGAACAGTTTGGTTTGTGTAAATGGGGTTTATCATTCGTACGGCGCAAACTGACTCGTGTAAATTATGTATAAGGCAAGCTTGCGACCCACAAAAAAAAAAACAAAAGTGGATCGCACAAATGCCATACATTCCATTGAGCAGGAGGGCATGGGAAGAGGTAAGTTTTATTTATACTTCAAAACAGCAAATTTGCATTTATTAGATTAAAAAATTGCCTATTTAAAAAAAATTAAAAATCTACTCACTTTACCGATATTAATCGAATAGTAATTCAATTGATTTATTGAAAGCATGTATATTATTAATCGACGATTGTAGAAGATTTGTTCTTCTCGACACCCTACAACTTCCCTGCCAGCCAGAAGAGAGACAGTTTTGGCGTCACTGTATGTGATTTCCGGCCACACATGCAGGGTGGCACGGATGCAGCAGAATTGATTAATTTAAGCTGGCATGTCAGATGTGACAATAAATTATCACATTTTCCTTTGACTTTTCCGTTAAAATATATGAAATATATAATGCATTAATGTCTCAACATGACAATGCATTTTGTTTTGTGGATGAGTATTATTTTATGAAAGCAAGCTGACGATGGGACAATGAATGACTAATGGTATATCCAACAGCTGTTTTTTCCAATGTGGAACGTATATACCTGCGAACGTTTAACACCAGTACTCAGACTCCACTGTAAACATTGGAAGGTGTTTAGTATTTTCTTAGCTCTTCAGCCGCA